ATATTGATTGTGTCAGCAATCGGTTCGACCTTCCACGTCTTGTACCGGAGCGCATCCGGTGATTCGTTGTCGCTAAAATGAAGAAAGCGAACAACTTCCTCAAAACGCTTTCTTGACATATAACTTCCGAATGTTCCTTTCGGAGCCGCACCTTGGGTATCTACTGCCCAGTGTTTCACTAGCTTTTCTCGATGCGGGCACAGCGCACGCGCGCATAGCAAACCAATAAAGTTGACCAATTCGTGGGGCTGAATGGGCTTGAACGCTCTCTGCTCCTTCTGAATTTGCTGCAAACTCTTGATCCTGTACGCCGGTCGCCTTTGCTTGACGCGTTTCTGTCGAGCCATGATGACATCCGCCGCCTGCGTGCGATACTGGAGTTGATGCCGGTTGCACTCTGTGGCAATAGATACCCACATCTTCTTAGGAAGAAAGAGAAAGAAAAGCCCTCCTAAATTGTTACCCAGCGCTTGCGCTATCTGATTAGGAGCCTCAGTGCATTTCGTAAGTTCAGCAGCAGGCATTTGTAGCGAAGTACCTACAACGCATCAAGTTTTCTTAGTGTCTAATACAGGATAAGTGATGAATCAAGTCAAACAATAACCTGTATCATACAACACAAGAATTACAATCTTCTTCAAAGTAGGTTGTCCAGCCACTCTTCGCATGATCACTCAATTGCTCTTTGCTCATCTTGTCAAATGGTGTACCCACGGAGAGATCAACGGGATCCTCTTCATCACTGGCGGCTTCATTGTCCTAATCTTCGGCGTCGTCGATGATGTATTCGGCGTCAGACTCATCATCATCGTCGAGTCCGTAGTCATCTTCATCCCCGGAGCCCATCCGATCGTTACCAGCCGAGATATCAACCGCTTCAGCTGCCAAGCGCGCACTCCGAGGCAGAGGTACGCGTTTATCCACATGCACAACCGATGTTGCAGCTGTATGGTTACCTACTCGTTTCTGCTTAGGTGTAGGGGGCTTGCCTGGAGGGCTACCACGTGTTTTGGCTGGTGACTTCGCCGGCGACTTGGCCGGAGTCTTTCCCGGCGGCTTGGCGGGTGATTGTGCCGGGGAATTGACCGGCGGCGTGGCAGAAGCCTTCGTTGTAGCATTGTCAACAGAATGGGGGGGGGAGTAGCGGCAGGTGCTGCGTTGGACGGCTTGTCTGGTCGCTCGATGGTGGTAATAGATACTGAGGTGGATCGCTTGGCAGGAGGAGCCTCGTCGTACAACACTAAAAGTCTTGTTAGCTAGTATACCCTTGGTAAGGGATATACATATACATACCTTTTACCGGTAAGTGCTTCCACACCTCCTCAGCTCCATCAAAATAATCAACAAGGTGCGTTACGTTTGGTCGTTTTACACAGCCGTCAGGTGTGAAGTATCGATTATCATTAGAGAGACCTTTAGGGCGCTCGAACTGCCATCCAACTTCTTGAGCTTAGTCCAAAGCTTGGTCCACGTAAGCGGCTTGATATGC